AACTTATGAACTGTTTATTTCTGGAATTTTCCATTGTATATTTTCTGACCAGGTTGACTGTGGGTAACTGAAACTGTGGAGAAAGTGGGGGGCTGCTGTATATGGTTTTCCTGAGGAATGAGGGTTGAGGCCAAACCATTGCATAACTAATCTGTATTAAATTTCTCCCCAACTACTTAAAATCCAAACACCAGTATTGCTATAATCACCACTTGTTAACTATTATCTTCATAGGCCAAATACAAATGGATAGAAATAATTTCATTTTTAGGCTGTTCCCCTTCCCTTATTTTTCATTTTAATATTTCTCCCTATAAAGTATTTTTAAAAAATACTTAAATAATTACTGAATATCTGTGGTATTCTTGGTGAACCTATAATTTGGGATAATGTCCTTGTGTACTCTGAAAAGATTTCATTCGGGTGACACCTACAGTTGGATTATGCAAATATTCTAATTATGCTAAGTAGAGTGGAAATGATTCTTGCTCAGAATGTTTTGTAATCACCTTGTTAACCAAGGTTCAGTCACTGTGATTGGGTTTTTCAGAGCATCCAGCTTGTTCTAAATTCAAAATGTGATTGGAATTATTGATCTTTTTCACTATTATAATTGATATACCCCCTCTCTCTCTCTCTCTCTCTCTCTCTCTCTCTCTCTCTCTCTCTTTTATGCAAACAAAAATACAGAAAATCAAGACAAACCAAGTCTCCGTAGCATATACATACACACACACACACACACACACGTGTCCCAAATGTGGCTCAGTGGTTGTGTTGACCCATAAACCAGGAAGTCACTGTTTGATTCCTGGTCGGGGCACATGCCAGGGTTTTGGGTTCGATCCCTAGTAGGGGGTGTGCAGGAGGCAGCCTATTAATGATTCTTTCTCATCATTGATGTTTCTATCTCTCTCTCCCTCTCCCTTCCTCTCTCTGAAATCACTAAAAACATATTTTTTTAAATGTATACACACTTAACAGCTGATAGCTCAATTGATGTTTCTTTTCAGAATTAACCCATTGGAATTAATAATTATTCAAAGTGTGTATACAGATATTTTATAGAATTTTATTTACAGTTCTCTCTTTTTCAGTATTTTACATATATTTGGGTCTCTAAGCAATTTTTTATTTAGATAAGCCATCATCATTCAATACTTACAGGCCCACCATGGGAGAATTAGTGAGCAGAAACATTCTATGCTATGCTAGCGGGTCCAACTATGTCCAGTACTAGAAATGACTGGCAGCAGACTTCCACAATAGGCTTGGGCTCCCCCCCTCACCCCCACCCCCTAAGAACTGCTAAACACGGGGAGGGAGGCCTCTAACACCAGACAGCGAGACCGGATTTATTTGTATTGAGGGACTTTCGTGGGCTTTGGCTGAAGTAGCAGATATCTATAATCCCTCCAAACACCAGGGCTTTAAGATGCCCCCTCAGTTCTGAATCCAGGTCACACAAATCTATGTCCAGCAATGAAACTACGTAACTTTTAAAAATGCACTAATACTAGGCCTGCTCAAGTGACAGCTAATTAGGCCGAGGTCAGGTCTGAGCAGGACTTACTGCCAAAATATGCAATTACAAATGGTGTGACTGGGGTGTGGGCACCAGGGATCGCGTTTCACTTCTGAATAAGCATTGGTGACCTGAGCTGGTTGGGCTCCCTCCAAGCCCCGGAAGGCCTGGCGCGGAGAGTGAGCCCTGCAAGAACCAGGGCCTGGCCTACACAGCGCGGCCCTGCCCAGCCCCGCGAAGCTCACAGCAAAGGGGAACCTTAGAGTTTTCACAAGATCGGGGGCCACTACTCACGTTTATTGGAAAGCAATAAATCAAGGGTTTGCTGAATTCTGAAGTGACTTATTGTATTTTCTTCCAATTCAGATTTATATTCCCACTTGCTTTTTTAAAAAATATATTTTTATTTATTTCAGAGAAGAAGGGAGAGGGAGAGAGAGAAAAGCATTAATGATGAGAGAGAACCATTGACCAGCTGCCTCCTGCTCGCTCCCTACTGGGGAGAGAGCTCCTAACCCGGGCATGTTCCCTTGACCGGAATTGAACCCGGGACCCTTCAGTCGACAGACTGATGCTCTATCCACTGAGCCAAACCAGCTTGCTTCCCACTTGCTTTTAAGTTAGATACTAGGCAGTTATGATTTTCCATTCCAGATCCCAAGTTCTATAAATCATCTCAGAAACTATTAGGTCAACCAAAATGCAAAAGTACAATGCAATGGAAAGATATTCCATTTTAAAAAATAAAACTAAGAAAGATATTCAATTTGAAGAAAAATTTTAAAAAAAAACAACACCTATATAAATATGGAAAGTGACAAAGTAACTTTCACATAGTAAGTGACATTCAAAGGGACCCTGGAAGGGACATTCTTGCCTGTTTCTAGAACTGTCCTACTCTAGGACAGCGGAGACGACAGAGCTGGGACCCATGTCGCTTTGAGGGGTTTGTTGCAAGACTGGTTTGGGCCTGGGCCTCTGGGGGGTGGGGGGGAAGGGGGTTTCCCTATCACACCTCCGTCTTTCTGGACCGACGGGCATTTTTACTACTTTGTGTGATGCACTGATAGTCTAACTGCAGACAAGATAGCAGCTTCCTCCTTGCGACCAATTCCAGAAAGCTGGTCATGACAGGTCGCCTTCCTCCCCTGGAGCCAGGCAGGGTTCCTGCGGGCAGACGAGGGCTTTAGATGGAGCTTCACCGCTGTGTTTCCTCTCTCCAGGCAGATGTCGATGACGTGAGCGAAGGGCCACAGCGGACATCCCGGCTGGCTGGGGAGCTGGAGAGCCCCTGTTCGGACCTGTGCGCTGCCGGAGGTGATTCTAACGCAAGTTGTAACCCAGAAACCTGGGGACAGCCAGGCGCCAGCTTATCGCCAGGTCCTGGCGATGAACCAGTTGGAAAGCACGGTGCAGATGGGTGTGACATGCCTGTGGCTTCACGGTCTCTCACCCAGGGCTGCTTCCAGCAGACCTCCCGTCTGAGGAGGGTGCACTCAGTGGCTCTGTGCATTTGGCGCAGTTTTGAAGATCACTTTGTATCCGTTTAGTACACCAGCTGGCTCCTGCTAGAGAGATGGCCTGTCCAATCCGCTAACCAAAACCTCGCGTTTCCAGCTCCAGATGAGTGCAGTAGGACTAGTTGCTCCCTCCCCGCCCCCAATTATCTGTGGTAGTGTCTTGGAAAATTCACTTACATCATAGAGATAAAATGTATCTGATATTTTCAGACATTTATTAATACTTGGGAATTTTCAGAATGTGCTGAACTAGAACAGAAAAAATGTTAATGTTTGTGAAATGAAGAAAAATCAAAAGAAACGCATTCCGCCGCTGGTAGCAGCTCGGGTCACACAGCCTGGGAGATGACACCACGTGATCGCTGGGAGGTCCCACTGCAGGTCGCCATGACTGGAAGGACTGTCTGTCCTGCCGGTGAGCCGAGCGGCCACGTGTGACGGATCCGTGTGGGGAGGGAAAGGCCGCCTCCAGCCTTCGCACTGGATGCCACGAGAGCGCCCTCGTAACGCCTCACGTGAAGTTTAGGCTTTGGAGCTGCCGGGTGGGTGAGAATGAATTCACCATTCTCCATCCGACACCATCCAGTCTAAGATGCTCGGAGTGGGAGAAAGCACTGCTCAGGCCTGTCCCTGCAAACTGGCAGCCGTGACCACCTTCCCCGCCTGAGCCTACCTGAGCAAAGCACTGCACTGTGAATCCTGAGGCTGCGATAGGTGACAAGAGTGGGACGTGTGGCACAAATACTTCCATCCCACCTTCGGAGACAGACCCGCGCCAAGGCCACGGTCGCTCTCTGGTAACACCCAGTGTTTAGACAACCTGGAAGACAGAGGCGCTTTACTGGAACCTCACACTGGTTTCTCGTTATTAACAGGGAGTCACATAATTGAGAAATTATTGCTGTCAAAGGAGGAATTCAGGAGTATAAGAGGCAGGAGCGTGTGGGGGAATGCAGGGGAGGTCAAACAAACCCTTACTCCACGCTGTTGAATTTCTCCCTTTGCGTTTGCTCAGTGCAGATGTGAGCAGGTGAATGAGACGTGAGCTGTGGCATCTGCGGTGGGTGGACAGAAGGTAGGATCCCCTCCCGGCTCAGTGAGGGCAGCACACAGAACACCCCACACTGTCTTTGAAGCCCTGTGCCCGCCTCTGAGGGACCGTAGGGCCCCCCACCCACTCCAGAGGACCAGAGATCGGAGCAGCCACGTCTTAAGTTGGATTTAGGCAGGTTGTGAAGTTCTGAGGAGTTCATTCAGGCAAAAGGAAACTGTGAGCCCGACCATCAGGGTAAAAAGCTCGGAAGCCAGCAAGCCTGTGGTTTTGTAGATTTGATCGGAAAATTCATTAATTCCTGTGGCTAAACATCAATAAAGAAAAATGATCAAATGTGCTAGAAATCTGGGGGAAAGAATGATAAGTCATGGCCTCTTGCACGGGAGGGAGGCTGAAAATGGGGAAGTGCCATCTGGACGAAAAGAATTTGGTTTCTTCCAGTGGAAAACTGAGTTGGGAGGTTTTCTGCTTTCACAGTGTTTTTAGGGCAAAGGTGCCCTTTAGCAATTCGTCCTGCTCCATTTCCAGGTGCCCCTTAGGTGTCGTGTTGTTGTGTTTTTAGACCCGAGACTTGAACTTGTCCACCTGAGGCATGAACAGGTCAGCCCATACTACATGCTTCTGCAAGGTGTTTCCATGAGCCAATGACAAATTTAATAATAACACATAAATCGGACAGTGGGAAGATCCATGTGAGGGCAATGGATTGATCTTACACTCGGAAGAGCCTTCTGCCTTCTGCCTTATTGCGAAACCAATCACATCTCACCGTAACTTTTGCAACGTCTCATTTCCCCTGTAGCTAGACCAGGTCATTTTAGGCAACTGCTCTGTTGTGTAAGATTCGAACTGCTTAAAGAAAAGAACAAAGTTCATAAAATAACCCCATTTCTACAAGTCCTTCCATGAGAAATCATTTTATTACCCCGAACGACTCAAAGCAAGTTTCCATCGATGGCTGGTGGCGACTGCCAAGTCCTTGTGGCTGCGGAGCTTGGCGGATTTCGAAGTGAACAGTCAGGGGTGCCTTCAGCTCGGTGGCCCTGCCCTTGTCTCCCCCGGGACAACCCTCCAGACGCAGATCTGGGCTCTAGCTACTTACTAGGGTTTTCTTTTGGAAATGATTCCAAGCGGGAATTTATTAGAGAAGATCCGTTTTCAAGCTGGATAGTAAGCATGTCTAGAGCGAGACAAGCCAGAACGAGTCAGGATCCAAAACCTGGTTATAAAATTGAAGGGAGGGACTCGGTTTCAATAACCTATGATCCACCCTCTCCATCCCATTGGAAGCCTCTTACCAGGCTGCCGGAATGGTGAGCAGACAGAAAAATACCTACCTAAGGCTGATGTTTTAAAAGTCCACAGGTTGGGTCAGATAGTGTTTGGAGTGCGTTTGTCCACTTTCCTGTCTTTTCTATATGCATCACATTGGAGTAGAACCAGGAAGTTCTGATCACTCAAGTGGAGCCAGCGGATGGAGCAGAGCCCTGTGCGCATTTCACGGCCTTGCTCTCAACACCCGGACCCAAGCGGGACCACTGGCAGCCCTGGGAGGGTGTTAGAAATGCAGATCTTGCACCTTCCTCTGGATGTACTGAATCAGGACCCACGTCTTAACGAGATCCCGGTGATAGGTTTGCATACTGAAATTTGAGAAGTACGGCTTTATAGTGATAGCTTTAATTTTTCTCCCCTTTTGGACTAATCCAGCCATGTACTGAGAGAGGATTTGCTGAATGATGAGCTGCAGGGATTTGCTGAATGGGCTGCTCTTTGTTTCTCTACCAGCTGCACGCCTGCTGTCCTTAGGGACTGATTACACCCCATAACCAACTGTGTGGAAGGCACATTTATCCACACAAGCTGTTCCTGGGAAGGTGTCTTTAAATAAAATCACACAATACACTCAAGCTATGTGTGCGACTGTGCGGTGTGAAGCTGACAAGCTAACATTTGTCAAAGAAAACCTACGGGAAATGTTCCGTTTTGCCACTAGGTGGAAATAGAGTAATTCTGAGTATATTTTTAGGGCCATGGGAAATCATTTACTGTAATTCTTACCATCTTAATTTCACAGGCAAGAAAACTCAGGTTCGGTGACATTAAGTAAAACGGCATCGGTCTTATAAATGGAAGCTTTCTAGAGAGACCGGGGAAGAGTTGCTGGTAATTCCTAATTTTCAACCACTTTCCTCCAGAAGAGAATGTGTTACTGTCCTGCAGCGGGAAGGAGGGGAGGGCGTGACACCCAGATGCCCCCATTCTGTGTGTAAGGACAGGCAAGACCACAGGCGGCCCTTGTGCCCTGTGCTGCAATGCAATTCATCTCAATCAGGTGAAAATGCTCCCCTTTCTCCAAAGAAGAAACACTCAAGCATCCATCAAGTCCTACAGGACTTTCACCAGATTTGTCTTCACATTTTTGGTTTTTATGCCTCACACGGGGCTCAAGGTAAGTGGCCTAGACCAGGACTCTAGTTAGCAGGTTAAGGAAGTGTTGCTGTTTTTCGGAGCTTGAAATCCATTGCCGTTCCTCTTAAGGAAGAAAGGGAGTCTGGGTTTGCAGGACGTTGGAAATGACCTGCCCCAGCCCCTGTCTGAGCACATACTACCGATGGGAGGCTTTGGAGAGCGGGCTGAGCGTGGGGCCCGCAGTAGCAGAGCCCTCGCCAGGCCCTTTGTCCCAGGGAGACACTCACAGATGTTGGCCTATATCTTTGTTTGTTGATGTGTTTTAACCACAAAAGGATTGTTTCCACTTATCACATCACAAAGTGTGTTTAAAAGTTAAGTTGCAGGTAATGCCTCTGGCTTAAAAACGATTTCTTAAGCACCTAAATATTTAGTATTATAGTGACGTTTCCCTTTTGATGTTTCTGGAACATGATTGATTATGAGCCTTTAAAATGTAGTATGTCAGTGCTGAGTCCTGGCTATTGTTACCTTATTCTATACAAAAACGGGTAAATGTTGGATGGGCACATTAGGAATCCAAGTGCAAGCCCACAGCGGCTGCCTGGGGGGGCGGGGGAAGCAGCCACTACCCGCCCAGGCGGCTGGAAGCCAGTTCTAGCATCACTGAGCAATGACCCTCAAGTGCCCTCAGAGCAGCAGAGCGCAGCGCAGGCTGAGACAAGTGCACACTGTGCGCTCAGTACGAAGACGGTACCTAAAACCATATATGCCAGGACCCGGCACAGTCTCGCACATCAAAGGCCCTCGGTAAATATTTGATTACTACACTACCCAAATAGAAACCAAGCCTGAAATACTGAAACAGCACAAAAGGAAAACTGGGGTGACCTAAACTTAGGGCAGGGACTTAAAATGAAAGGGAGCCCAGGGAGGGGAGAAAACGCCCTGAGGCATGCTGGGAGATGACACCAGGTAGGGCGCAGGGGCTGCAGCCAGAGGCCGCCAGGTGTGGTCCTACTTCACAGGCTCTGCGGGGAGAAGGACTGGACAGGGATTCGGCCCTGCACTCCCCCAACCTTCCCTGCCTTCTTTCCTCTTTAAAAAGCTGGGATAACACTTGTTAGCAAAACCTGGGTGGAGATCAGCGTTACTGGCTGTGAAGTGCCCGGGACCACATGTCCATCAAGGAGCCGCCTCTCTGCGTGGCAGCTCCCTCACCCGAACCCACCCTTCCCCACGGAGACCAGGGTCCGCTCCTGTGACAGGTCCACCGTGAACAGTATGCCTTCTATGCAGGTACAGGGTGTTGTGGTGGCTAACGGCGCAGAGGAGGGGCCGTGGGTCTGCCGCCTCTGGGTGGAGAAGAAGCTGAAGGGCTCGCTCCTCTGGGAATGTGCACTAATGAACATTCCCGCGAGGGGACATTGAATTGCAACCACAGGCACTTAAGCTGAAACTTCCTACGGAGTTTTCGTTTGGAAACCGAACTTCCGGGGACACCTCCACCCATGCCGCACCTTCTGATAAAGCCGTCTAACTCACTCAGGTCTATACTCACCTTGAGGTCCTAACTGGGCCGGGGTGGCCTGCGGGTGGGGGGACAGGTGTCTCGGGAGGGTGTGGCGTGTGCGTTTGTTCGGTGACTTGGAGCCCAGATGAGCCACGCGAATACACCTATCAATCCATCAGGCAGCCAACCCGCTGACCGACCCCTCCCAGCGCCCGAGCCCGGGGAGGGCCCATCTACGCGCTGGGTATTTTAAACGGAAACGGGGCTTGGCGGTGAGGCTGGGGCCCGGG